ATCTTTTTGTTCCCTATTATGAAGTGTCCTCCTGTGAATTTGTGGATAATGAAGCAGCCGTTGTAACATGGAAAACCGCCAAAAACCAACCTACTAAGTCAACTTATACAAATGGGGGACTGATGTCTCTATCACAATACCAACGTCATTTTTATTAGCAGAGAGGGGGCATGGTCACCTTCATTAGGTGATTATTTAGGACAGTTGACGAGTGAGATTCCTCCAAACACTTCAATCACTGAGTTTGTGGCAGTTGGTCCAAAGACCTACGGGTCTGCTTTGTCAAACAGGGCAACTGTGTTAAAGGTGAAGGGCCTAACATTTAATAGTGCCAACTGTGTTAAGGTTAACTTTGAAAGCCTGAAAGATCTGATTGATGTGTATTGCCTAACAGGGGGTGAGGAAAAGAAAGAGATTCAAGTACAGCAGCCTGGAATTGTTAGGATTAAGAAGCAGTGGGTTTTGAAAACACGAGTGCTCAGGAAAACTCTAAAAGTTGTCTATAATAAAAGGGTGCTCAATACAGAGGATTATTGTACGCTACCTTACGGCTATTAAGTATGATGAAAAGCAGTGCACAGTTTGTACATCCTAAGTGGACCTTCCAATTCTGGAAAATCTTATTTTATAAAGCAAATGTTAGAACATGGTGAACATGTATTATCTGAAATGCCTCAAAATATTATATGGTTTTATAACTGTTGGCAACCTCTGTACAAAGAATTGCTTAATAAATTTCCTAATATTAAATTTATGGAGGGGCTTCCTGACTCTTTTGAAGATGCTAACTTGTTTCCACCAAATCAAACCAATTTAGCAGTGGTAGATGATCTCATGGCCTCTGCTGGTGAAAGCTTTTACACAGTATGTTCATCACAAAAACCTTAGCATTATTCTCATACTTCAAAATCTGGTTTTTCAAGGTAAGAAAATGAGAACAATAACTCTAAATGTGAAATATTTGGTGTTATTCCAATGCCCCCGTGACCAGATGCAAGTGGTCACCCTGACACGTCAAATGTATCCGTCTAACACGGGGTTCTTTTTAGAAGTGTTCCAAGATGCCACTAGCAAACCCCACGGGTATCTTTTAGTTGACCTGTCTGCCACTACTCCAGAAAACTTTAGGCTGAGAACTGGGATCTATCCACCTGATTGGCCGGTAGTTTACACTATCAAAAAGAAGGGTAAAAAGTAACTGCTGTAATTGGAGAGCTCCCAATTCATCCAGGATGTCTGAGAGGGTGTGCAGAAATTGGGGGNAACAAGGTGTATCCAATAGGTCACCGAGAAATAATATACCAAAACTTTGGGGATATAAAACAGTATTTTGGATTTGCAAAAGTTAAAGTGTACACGCCAAGGGGTCTATACTTTCCAGTACTGCCACATAAGTCGTGGGGGGGGATTAATGTTTAGTTTATGTGCAACTTGTACAGAAAAGCAACAAGTCATGGAGTGCCTCCACAATGATGAAGAAAGAGCCCTAATTGGCACATAGTGTATTGTAGAATTGAATGTGGCTGTGGAGAAAGGCTACAGAATTGCAAAGATCTACAAAGTTTGGCATTTTGAAAGGAAGACAAAAAATTTGTTCTCAGGCTATATTAACATGCATCTCCATCAAAAACAGGAGGCTAGTGAGTATCCCTATTGGTGCAAAATAGAGGAAGATAAAGAGTGTTATGTTCAAGATAATGAAAAAGAGGGGGTCCGCTTATGCAGAGAACATATTGAAGTCAATTCTGCTAAAAGATAGATTGCTAAACTGTTTTTAAACTCATTGTGGGGTAAATTTGGCCAGAGTACCAATCAGATGACAACCTCTGTGGTGACAGAGCCTGAAGAATTATTTAAGTATCTTTTTGTTCCCTATTTGAAGTGTCCTGTAAATTTGTGGATAATGAAGCAGGTATTATAACATGGAAAACTGCCAAAAACGAACCTAGTAAGTCAACTTGTACAAATGTGTTCATTGCCAGTTTTACAACTGCTTGTGCATGGCTAGAATTATACAGAATATTGGATCGCATGGGGGACAGATGTTTCTATCACGATACCGATTCTGTCATTTGTATTAGCAAAGCGGGGGCATGGTCACCTTATTAGGACAGTTGACAAGTGAGATTCCTCCAAACACTTCAGTCACTGAGTTTGTGGCAGTTTGTCCAAAGACCTACAGATATGCTTTGTCAAATGGGGCAACTGTGTTAAAGGTGAAGGGCCTAACATTGCATAGTGCCAACTGTGTTAAGGTTAACTTTGAAAGCCTGAAGGATTGATTGATGAGTATTGCCTAACAG